CGCCAAAGAATTCGGCAGATTGGACGCAAAACTTGACTCTGTCATCTATGTGGGATCGCTGAAATGTTAAGGGAAAAATGCCGGCTAACGATAAGTCATGATTAATCCTGTTTTTATACAATAATTATTTTCAAAATTAAGCCTGATATACGTTTTTGCCTAGTTAAAATTGAGCAGGTTCTTTAATTTGACCGCATGAAGGATTTCCTAAAAAATGGGTTCACGTCTTTGAAACTAACCCTCTATATTGTTCTCTATTGTTGTCATTTATCGTGCTCTGGCATATAAGTAGAGAATTTTCATTTTCTTGTTCGTTAGAAGTTTCTTGAAGCAAACTTACTTTTCTTGTATTTCAGCTCGTATGTTTCCTGGACCAGGTAAATAGTCAATTTTTTTCATTTCCGGGGTCTTTTGCTACTATCACTGGTGTTGAATGTAACCTTTGGCTTGTGTCAGTAGTTGAAGCACAATTAATGAGTGGCTTGAAGTTTCCAAGAATTTTATTTTTGTATTTTGTATTCAGATGTTCACTTCTCTATCTGTCATGGCTTGTGTTGTTATTGTCTTGGTCATCGTCATCTGGGTATCAGGATCAAGTGCCGAGTATCCAGATTTACGAATTTCTGACGCTTTGGCATTTTGAAATGCTTCTGGTGATGTTATTGGCTACGGCATAGGACATAATACTCGTCACAAGCAAGTTAGTCTCTAGCAGCTGCTTTCATATGTCATTCTGGCCTCTGACGCACCTGCTGTCATTTCTTGTTTCCTAGAGGAGAATGGTTTTGGACTGATTTCCATTCTTTCTCCAAATCACACAACAGATGATAGATGTCCGCCGGTCCTTTATTTCTTCAGACAGCATTCTCAGGCCTGTCCAACTTTTCATTTTTCATTCGATCGAATGTTCCACAGGTAACGCTGCTGAAAAGTGTCGGACGGACATCGCCATCTTTTAATGGCGCTTTAAAAGGGCTTATGTACTTGGTGTTGGTTTTTGATTCTGATTTTTGGGGAACATGGTTGTTTCTAATCTTATGTTTAATATATGAATTTGAAGAAGAATATATGTATTATTTATTTATTTATTTATATTTATATATTTGTTGGCACGCGTAAAATTTACAGCTTTTTAATTTATTTTAGATAGAGGTCATGAAGCGTGGACATTCCGTAATGTCTAGCGTTTTTGGCGCTTTGTCTAATGACGACGTCAATTTGGAACTATGTTTGCAA